TACATTTCCTTATTAGCATGCAAGTTTTCAAAGCAGATATAGATGATCTTCTGCATTTCTGCAGGATCTGTTGTGATTTCACACATTTCATTCCTGATTGCATGGATTTGAGTCTTTTTTATAAAGTTGGATAAGGATTGGTCGATTTTATTTAATCTTTGAAAGATCAACTCTTCATTGATTCTTTGTAGTTTTTTTAGTCTCCAATATGTTAATTACTGGTCTGGTCTTTAATTTTTTCCTCTCTCATACGAGTTTTTGGTTTAGCCTGTTTCTCTTGCGTTAGAAATTTGAGGTTCATCATTGAGTTTTTTGTTTTGTTTTTTAAATGTATTTGGTTGTTATAGGGTCTTACTACACAGCTTGGACTCATAGTGATCCTCCTGTTTTCAGCGTCCTTGGTCCTGGGGTTACAGGCGTGTGCCACTCTGCCAGGACTCTGTGGTCTCTCAGCGCGCCCTGTGGGTGGGGCTGATGGCATGTGATGCTGGAGATAAAACTGTGGTCCTTGCACTTACCTAAGCAGGCACTTTATGCATTTTTGTTTTTGTACCTAGGACTGAACTCAGGGCTTCCAGTTTCCTAGGCAAACATTCTACTGCTGAGCCAAATCCCCATCCCCTAAAATGGAATAAGGTGTTTTTTTTTTTTTTTTTTTTTCCTCGAATGTCTGCAGGGCACTTTTGGCTAGCTGGAGTGTTGTGGGGATCGAACTACAGCAATCTGAGGCTGACAGGTTTGTGGAAGCAGCCACTTAAAGAACTGAGCTAGGGCCAGGGCCCCTAAGCAGGCACTTTAGTATGCTGAGTTATCTCACCAGCCCTGCGTTGTTTGTGTTTGCTCTATTTTGCAGATAGGGGTATTCGCTACTACAAATGTCCCTCTTAGGACTGCTTTCACCCATAAGTTCCATATGTTCTATTGTCATCACTTAATTGTAGAAACTGTCTCATTTCTTTTTAAATTTCATCAGTGACCTGTCGTTCAGGAGGGTGATATTTAATTTTTTTGTGTTTATGAAGTTCTTGTGGTTTCTTTGGCTATTAATTTTCTGTTCATTATACTATGGTCTGACAGTATTCATGGAATAATTTCAACTTTTTTGGGTTTACATAAGTGTGTTCTGTGAAGTCTTACGTGGTGTATTTTGGAGAACATCCATAGGTGATTTGGTTCTTTTCCCTAACGTCTTCTAAGATTCTTTGCTTGTGTTGAATTTTGGGATATAGATTACAATATGTCAGACTAGGTTTTTTTTATCATGGCTAACTGAAGTTCTGTATATCTCACTTATATATGTCGAAATCTTTTTTTCTACCAGAGAAGTTTTGTCCCATGACATCCGAACAGTTTTTTAAAAAACATCCTTTGTGCTATCTCCTGCTTTTTCAGACTCCAGCCCTGAGTTGCTCTCTGCTTCATCCAGCAGCTCCTGCATTGCTTTCTGGTGGCCCCTTGCTTTTGTAAAGAAGTTACTTGGTTTTCTTTTTCTGGAGGCTCATTTAGTTGTTTATGGTAACCACTTCAGAGTGTGGAGGTGGGTAGCTCTGGGATTGTTGTACCTCACTGCGCCCTGGGCCTGCCTCTGGTGTTGCGTCTTGTTTAACTGTCTTCTAATCATCCTTCTTTCTTTTTGCTTGCTTAGTTTAATTCCTGCGGTAATGCTTATAAATTTCGTATGGTAGATTACCTGTGGTAATTCCGGTGTCTGGGTGTTAACTCGGAGAGGCCTTTCTTTTCTTTGCCATTTACCACTCGGCCATCTGGATGCGCCTTCTGTGCACCAAAGTCCAGGTTTTCAAAATCAGTTGGTGCCTGTAAATCAAACCTTTGAATATTTCTGGTAATATTTGTCATGAAATGAAAGTATAAAACCTGTACTTTCATGGTGATTTTTGTAAGAACTAAATCTTTCTGGTTTGCATAATCAGTAAGTAAAAAAGTCAAAGTTTTGAATACTTTCAGTGATATCCACAAGGGAATAAGTTTATATGTTTAAGTTCTTATACAGGGGTCAGGGAGATGGCTCAGTGGGATAAGCGCTTCCCTGGCAAGTGCACGGGCCTGAGTTCAAGCCCCGGTTCCACCAAGAAAAGAGAAGAGAAGAGAAGAGAGGATTTCAATGTAAAATATAAAACTAAATTCTTATACAGTAGAATCATAATAAATTTTTATGTTGTAATTTGCTTCTGTTTTTAGCAAAGCTTTGCTTGTGAATAGAATTTTGTTTGTGAAATTATGCAAAGATTGGTATTTTGGTAAATTAGTTAGTTTTTTTTTTTTTTTTTTTTTTTTTTTTTTGGGGGTTTGTTTTTTTTTTTTGCGGAGTTAGTTAGTTCTTTTGGTGATATGGTCAAAGGTGAGTCCTGTTCTTAGACCAGAGGTTAGTAACAGTATTAAAGGAATGTATCTGTCACAGTGAATTGTTAGGTGGTTGGGAGGTGACAGGTGCCGTCATTCATTATGCGTGCATAGCTGTAGTCAGTTCAGGCCTGGCTGGACTCCTGGTATGTGGGTCAGGGCCTGCTTGGCCTACGAGACTTGGGCCAGAAGTTTGCCTTGTAGGACAGTGCTAGCAGTCTAGAAACTACCCTTGGGTTGTCCTTTTTTAATTACGTCTGCCCTCCATTCCTGACCACTGGACACCAGTAAGGTGGTTTTGTCTCTTGGGGAATGTCACATAAATGGAGTCATTGCAGCATGTGATTTTGGAGGGGGCTGATCTTTAGATCAGCCCCCTCCAAAGTTCATACCTTTTAATTGCTAGCCGCACTTTAGGGTTTGGATATAACATGTGCCTCCATCCACACTCCTTGAAGGCCATGTGTTCTTAGTTTTGGTGTTCGGGAATAGAGCTGTAAGCATTTCCCTGCAGGATTGTACTTGAATACAAGGGAATCATTTCTCTAATGTAAACCCCTAGAAGCGGGACTGCTGGATGACAGTCTGTTTTTTATTGCCTTCTTTTGTTGTTGGACTGTAGTATTTGTTTCAGAAATAGTTTTCAGTTCATAGTCCTCTTTAGATTTCTTGGATGGAGAATAAACTAAGTTTTAGTACTGCTATGTTTACTTTGAATTTGGGAAGTCTTGGGAGCTATAGTTGCAACAGTTGCTGTATTAGATCTTTGTACATGTGGTGCGGCTTTTTTGTTCACTGTGTTCTGTGGAATCTGGAACATCTAAGAGGAAGAAATGCGGACTTCGGGGTCCCACTCAGCCATGCTCAGCCAGAATCTGCTTTGAGCAGTCTTCCCAGCAAGGGACATATGTCCCGAGGTAAGTGCTGAGGAGAGTAGCCTGCTGCAGAGAGCAGCCGAGAGGGCGTGGCCTCCCACATTTCTCTCAGGCCCCTCTCTCAGATTTCATAGACCCGGGAAGAGGGCCGTTTGGCAGCACACCAGTAGGAGCTCAAGGCTGGCTGCTGTAGGTGCTCCAGTAGCTGACCATTGGGCATCCAAAGGAGTATTGCACTCAGGCAGAAAGGAAGCTGTGGTTTGCAGCCATCCTTCTAGTGTATTTCTGCTTGAAGGGCTTACTGCAGAGTATGTGCATTTGTACTCCCCCACCCCCACCCCCGTGGAAAATGTTGAGAAAGGAAAGAATGAGATAGTGTCATAGTTTTTTTCTTTCACTTGTGAGTTTAATACAGCAGTTACTAGTAAAGACAATTTAAAAATTATTCATCATAGAATAGAGACACAGATTCTTCTTTCATTAAATTACAGTGTTTAAGTGAACTTCACACTCAGTCAACACCTATCTTCCACTTAAGAGTGATCCCTGAGCCTGACTTGTGGAGAAATGAAGTGATACTCGGCAGGAAGAATCAATCTATCTATCTATCTATCTATCTATCTTTCTTTCTTTCTTTCTTTCTTTCTTTCTTTCTTTCTTTCTTTCTTTCTTTCTTTCGTGGCCAGCTCAGCCCACCAGGGGCCGGGGCTGGCTGGCATGTGGTGCTGGGGGATTGAACCGCTGTCCCTGTGCTTTGCTTAGCTTAGCTTGTTCTAAGTAGGTGCTTTAGACCACTGAGTCATCTCACCAGCCCCTGGAAGAACTGTCTTTGAGGAAGCTACTTTAGTTTGGAGTGAGACTAGAGGAAGTTTGGGGTACCAGTATAACAACAGAATAGGGCCGGGGAGATGGCTCAGTAGAATAAGTGCTTCCCTGGCAAGTGCAAGGGCCTGAGTTCAATCCCTGGTTCTGCCAAAAAAATAAATAAAAGTTGGTTTTGGGGGAGGTGCTGGAGAAAGCAGTACTTTAATTGGGTGCAGCCCTAGGGCTCAGAGAAAGCCCGCCAGCAGCAAGGAGGGCGAGGAGGCGGGAGCTTGCGTGGGGAGGCCAGTGCAGCAGCAGCGAGCCCCATGGCAGTGCTGCCCGCTCCCCTGGCATGAGGTGGAAGTGAGCCCGTGTAATCGGAAGCGTGAGGTGTCATGTAATTGAAGGTGCAGGGTGGGGTGTGCAGGACTCAGAGAATTCTTTTGTTTAACTTAGATGGAATATTTAAGTTTTAACTTAGGTTGAAATTCTATTCTGTTCAAGTTCTGTTGTGTGTTTTTTTTTTTTAAATTTTATTTATTTATTTGTGTGTGTGTGTGTGTGTGTGTGGCCAGCTCAGCCCACCAGGGGGCGGGGCTGGCTGGCATGTGGTGCTGGGGGATTGAACCACGGTCCCTGTGCTCTGCCAAGCTTGTTCTGAGTAGGTGCTTTAGACCACTGAGCCACTTCTGTTGTGTTTTGCAATGATGTTGATTAGACATGACAGTGGAACACTATATTAACTATAAGCAGGACTTTGAGATTTTTCCAATATTAATTTTTAACACTGGAAATTATTTTTTCCTTGGGTCAGTTCAGTGTTTCTTGTGGCTCCAGGAGAGGACGTTATGAAATAATGTTCACACCACGGGTATAAGCAGCCTAATGTATTTTGGCGTTCTTCAACAGTAAGCTTGTATGAACAGAAAATCACTTTCCCTCTCCATTTGCTTTCTGCAGGGAGGTATGGAAACCCTGGAAATCCAGAAGGACATAAAAGAAGAATCCGATGAGGAAGATGATGAGGATGAAGAATCTGGGCGGTTGCGTTTCAAAACTGAAAGGAAAGAAGGAACAATTATTAGGCTATCGGATGTAACTAGAGAGAGAAGGAACATTCCAGAAACTTTGGGTAACTTGCTTGTCTTAATCCCTCTTCATCTCATTTCACATTTGTTTGTAGTTTTGTTAAAATTAATCACACGAAGAAAGAGGGCTTCCCACAGGTGATCATGGCTGTTCCTGTAAGGTGGATTGTCTGCCAGAGACCAGTGCTCGGGAGACAGTGCTGTAAAGGCCCTTTTGTCTGCAAGTGCAGTTTGAATAAAAACTGTGAGATTGCTTGTTTTTAGTAGTTTTCTTTTGCCACCTGTGGTCTAGAGCTGCTTTCCTACAGTCTGCTTTCCTGGTGGTTCCGGGCAGGGTGGTAGTCGGGTGCGGGGGACCTCCCAAAGACCTTGGAGTCACTGGTGGCGATTGTGGACCAAATCGGGTTGACCGTGCATCGCCAGCACCCTCATGGCCCCTCTTTTGGGCTTTCCGCTTCTGTTTGCCTTCCTTTTGGTGCTGAGTGAGGAACTTGATATACAGCTAATGAGCCGTCACTCTGAGCACACTGTTGTTGGGGTGTGCTGAGAGGGCTGTGGCTCACAGCAAGGACCCCATGCCTCGCCTGCAGTAGGCTCCAGTGTCCCTTCCCACCGAGCAGTGGTTCTCAAGCTTACCTGAGTGGCAGACTCGCCAGAGAGAGGCTGGCTTGCAGTCTTTGGTAGGAGTGCTTGCCTGGAATTGCCTCCAGGACTTCATTAAGTTTTTCAACCCTCTCCTAGCTGTCCAGAGAGCTAAGCTTTGTGCCGACTCAAGTGCTGCTGCTGTCCGGGCTGAAGTCCAGATATGCGGAGTGTCTGGACAGCAGGACACTATATTAACTGTAGTCTATATTAACTGTAGTCTGAAGTCCAGATATGTGGAGTGTCTGGACAGCAGGACACTATATTAACTGTAGTCTATATTAACTGTAGTCTGAAGTCCAGATATGCGGAGTGTCTGGACAGCAGGACACTATATTAACTGTAGTCTCACCCTGCAGAGGGTGAGAGCGACAGGACAACAGTCTGTGCCTGCTCTGTGGTTGTGGTCTAGCTCACTGGTGGCAAACCTGTGGCATACGTATCATTTTTCTTTGAAGGCAAAGGATATTTTTTTAAAAATTTATTTATTTATTTATTTATTTATTTATTTATTTATTTATTGTGTGTGTGTGTGTGTGGCCAGCTCAGCCCACCAGGGGCGGGGCTGGCTGGAATGTGGGGCTGGGGGATTGAACCGCGGTTCCTGTGCTTTGCTAAGCTTGTTCTAAGTAGGTGCTTTAGACCACTGAGCCATCTCACCAGCCCCTGAAGGCAAAGGATATTAATGTGTGAATTTTTTTTTCTAAACTACAGCTGCAGTAGTTTTTGGATTTAATTGCAGTGTTGGTACTTTGTGTGTGTGTGTGTGTGTGTGTGTGTGTGTGTGTGTATTTGCGGAACCGAGGATTCAACTCAGGCCTTTGCACTTGCCAGGCAAGCGCTTATTCAATTGAGCTATCTCCCCGGCCCCCTAGTGTTGGTACTTTGTGATAAGGAAATGGGCTCTGGCTTACAGTTTGAGCACTTGTCTAGAAGGTTCACCACCACCGGCCTAGCTACCAGTCAGTGTCAGGCTCTCACCCCTCACTTTATGTTAGGAAGCATTGTTTGTAGTTGTTTTTAACCCAGAATGTGAGCATGTGTGTTGGAGGGGCAAGGACCAGTCTTGCGGTGGACACAAAGCTTGCAGGCCTGGAAGTGAGCGGCAGTGAGCTATCTTTTCATGTAATGCTGCTGCGCAGGAGATAGAGTCTGCTTTGTACTCACCCTTCTCTCTCTTTCCTGTCGAGTTGCTTTTTTCTCCACCTTTGGCCAAGATTTCTCTGGACTTGCTCAGGTTGTGGTGTGAAGGTTACCAGTTTGTGTGAACCAATTTCCTAGGGACAGCATTGTTTCTAAGAAAGTGAATCTGAATTCAAGAGCAATTATCTTAACATGGGAGGCTAGAAAAACAAAAGTACTTGAAGAGGAATTGGCCACATAGCAGTAGAAACTGAGTGATCTGGGTTGTAATAAGCTGGGGAGCTCCTCGCAGTTGTGGCCCTCAGGAGCTGGGCTCGGCGTGAGGATGCTGGCCACCGGACACGTGAGAGCAGAGCTCTGGGTGCTCCCATGGTTGCGAGGCTGGCAGCCGGCAGAACACATGGGTACCGCTCCCCCGCATCCAGGTGGCTGCTGGCTGTGGTGGACTTGCTGGGCACCTCGCCTCCTGTGCTGCTTCCCCGCCCACACTGCCCTGCCAGTGTCCACCTCCTCCTCCTATTCTAACCTGAGCACTGATAGTGCCCTCATTCTGGAATGTCATTAGCTGGTCTGCATCTGTGGCTTTTTTGTGTTTCATCCCTGCATATCTTTTTTTGAAGGATGCTTGCATCATTTTCTTATTTTTAGAATCATTCTTTTATTAAAAGAACACACACGTGTGCACATGCACTCATGTACGCACCGATGCACCCCTTCACTTACACCTTCTGAAGCCGCCCAATATCTTTATAGTGATGTTATACTGCGGCAAGACATTGGAGAGCTTGGCTGCTTTTGGGGAAGTCACTCCTTGGAAATGGGAGGGAAGAGGGCTGGGGTCCTTAGGAGCAGTGTGGCTGCAGGCCTGAGCCCTGCCGATGGCCTGCTGTTCTTTGAAACCTAAAAAGGAGCAAGAGACAGGAAAAGGAATATTGTGGGACTGTCCTGCTTCAAGGTTGTATATGGTGAGATTTTTGGATTTATGTGTAAACATAAGAAGTATATAATTCTTTATATTTTTAAAATATATTCTAATTTTTAAATGTTTTTTATCATATTCTGTAGGAACTTAAAGTTCAACATATCAATACTTGAGGAAAAACACCTTTTCCATATTATGCCTAAGATGTTTGATATGCAGACAGATAGTGAGGTTAAGCTTAACAGCCTAAGTTGTATGGTAATAACAATAAGCTTGTCCTCTGGATGGTTAACAACCTAAGTTTGCAGACCAAAATTAGAGAAAAAGGAGGGCTACAAGGAAAGCCAACATTTTGGCCCTAACCTTCTAAGGTCAATTACGACTCAGGACATATGAGAACTTGTACGTAATGTCATATAACTCAGTAGTGTCCCAAATTTTCTGATCAGGGGATTATGGGGCCAAAGAGGAAAGTGATCGATGATGTATAGTGTGCCTAAGGAGAGTCACATGAAGAGAAAACATTCTCACAGGCTTTCACAGAGAGCACATTGGCCCAGCAATGGCCATGACTCATCCACATGGCTGACACTGACAGAGGTTCTCCAATCTGAGGTACAGGATCTCAGGATAAATCCTGAGGGGATTTCACTGACCTTATCAGACCCAAAAGCTACAACTCCTGTTGCATAGGTCCTGCTTTACCTTGGTCTTAACCATCCATCAGAAAAGCATAAAAATGATATATAAGAAGTAAAGCCATGCTGTTATGTTGAGCTGTAGGGGACTCAGGTCAACAATTTCTGACATTGCCAGTCAAGTGGAAGACCCAATACTATTATGGGCTACTGGACTCTTTTAGAATATTTTGCTGAGTTTACACACCTATAATATTCAAATAACGGAACTTAACAAAAAAAGGGGATACAGATGAATGTCCATTGTGTATCTGTGTATTCAAAGTGGCTAGGATAGATATATAGTTACATTCTCTTAATGAGTAGAGTGATTTGTTCTAATGGTGTTTGTAAATAGCATATCATGTCTGCATGTTGTACAGCAATTAACCACTAGGAAGAATGTATGCAATGTGTTAATTATTGAAACTGTCCTACCAATTTGATTTGAAACTGTCTCATTGCTATTTGTTTGTCAATAAAATTATGGTGGGAAAAAAAAACCTAAAAAGGGACTGAAATGCTTTCATGAAGAAGGCGGTTGTTTTGCTAGTAATAGGACAAGTGAAGATGTTGCTTAAGGTACATTTCTTTGCTCTAGATTAGTGAGTCCTGACGGGTTCTCCAGGAACTGCTAAGTTAGGATTATACCTGCGTTTAAGAAAAAGGGATTTTCTGACCATCAGTAGATTGGTTTCCTGAGAGGTTGTTAATGCTTCCCCAAACCAGAGACTTAACTTCACAGGTCAGGCACAGGCTCCCTGAAAGTCAGAAGGGCTGCAGTGTTGGAAAGCTAGAAATTGCAGGAGTTGTTGCCGGTCAGTTTGTGTACTGCTGGTGAGAGAAACAGCAACCTTAGGGTCTGCACAGATGTGATTGCGTTCATTTTGAGTCCATAGATCTGTTTGCCTGCTTTTGGTAATGAGATTAAAGTATCTTGCTACCAGAGTGTATATGTTATCTCATATGGTAAGGATTTTTTAAACATTTTTTTTAACATTTTGATTTAAAAACTTTTTTTAGCATTGATAAATTTTGAGAAAATTCAGTTCTTTAAGAAGAGAAATCAAATAATGTGGTGCCTGCCATTTCTGTCTGTCAAGGGTTGCATGGAAGTAGTGAGTTCTCAAAATGTAGAAGGGAGTTTCGGCATTTTAGTCTTTGATCACATTCTTAGTCTCAGTGTCATCTTTAAAAACACTTAGTTCTAGTATGTAATAATGTTGACTGTTAAGGAACCTCATGCATAATTGTTGGTATTTGTTTATTTTTAAATTTATTTTGGTACTGGGAAGCACACTTAGGTCCCTGTGCTTGTAGGTATGTGCTTATGCCACTGGGCTGTATCCCCAGCCTTGGTTTGTATTTTGAATATGGTTTGAGTTAGAAGTAGAATTTTGGGGCTTTCCTGTAAGTATATTAGGTGGCTTGCTTTTTTTCCCAACTAGGATCCTGGAAATTACAGAAGGATTTGTGAATTTTTTCCCTCAATTTTCACAGGGATGGTCTAAGACTGCATATTCAGAAAATAAATTAATCCACAGCATGTGAGGAGTGCTTGGGGTATGTCTCAGTTACTTTTTACTCATTGCTGGGACGAAATACTTGACACCCAGAATGAAGGAAGGAAAGGTTTATGTAGCTCACAGTCTGTGGAGGTTTCAGTCTATACTCAGCTGGCTCCCAGCAGAGCAGCGCATGGCAGAGAGCAGCACTCCTGGCAGCAGAAAACAGTGAAGGGCAAAGGGAGGAGCAGCAGCTGCGGCTTCTGGCCAGTCCCTCTCTATTCTGATCTGACTGTGAAGACCAGAGCTCCTCTGAGGAAGTGGCAGCAGCAGCTGCTGCAAAGATCCGAGCTCCGGAGTGGCCTGACTGCAGTGATCCAAGGAAGTCCCTCAGAAGCCTTCCTCAGCTGCTCTGTACATCCTTTATGTGCTGGGTCGCTCTGGCGGCCCTCCCCCAGTCAGGTTGACACAGGGTATCAGCCACTGCAGGGTGGAAGTCCTTCTCTCCTGAAACCCAGCTGAGCAGCTGAACGGTGCCACTGGAACATACGTATAAGGGGGTGGTTGACTTTTGAGCGAGAACATGAAAGTGTTCTCTGATAGGACATCATTGACCCCTTTCCTTCATATGTAAGCCCAGTAGTTCAGAGCTGTCTGTTCTGTTGTTCCAGGAAGCGGACATCAGGTGGTGTTTGCAAGCAGTGCAAGCCCTAAGTGTAAGGCTGTGTTCATTTCAGTTAGGATTTTTCACGATCTGTGTGTAGACTTCCAGGTTTAATGTTGTGCTGTATCTCATCTGTAATATGTGCTTTGTGGCATCTGTAATATGTGAATTTTTACTGCTTTAGCCTAAAGACCGTGCATGCTAGGTATAACTACAAAGTATTCTCCAGCTAATATCCTTCATTTAAGACTGTCTGTGAGGTGAACATTTCCACGTGGTGACAGAGAGTAAGACTGTACAACCAATTCCATATTGTCCTGTAATGGGCCTTATATTTGCAAAGCTTTAAAAATACCTTGTTACAGTTATTTTGTAAAAGAAAAATATTCTCAGACTATTGTTTGCCATTTTTTTTTTCTTACCAAATAAGTTGTGTGTTCCATACCAGTCATTTCCAGATATTACTGCTATTTTTTTATTTTATTTTTTTTGGCGGAACCGGGGATTGAACTCAGATCCTTGCGTTTGCCAGTCAAGCGCTTATCCTACTGAGCCATCTCCCCGGCCCCAGATATTACTGTTATTTACATGCAAGTAATCCTAACATTTTAGAAAGGGACAGCACAAAAATTTGTTAGTTGCACTATAGCGCTTTAGAATCTGGATATAGTTCAGAAAAACACTTAAAGCAAAATTAACATTTCAGTTGAAGTTACAAATGTAATTTCCATCCTGTCATATTTTGGTGACCTTTTGTGACAGCTTGTCTCAATTGGAGGAAAGCGTTTTTACTTGCTGATTAAAGATGTCATTTGAAACCATTTTATTACTGAGGATAGTGAAATTAATCTTGACACTTAGACCCACTAGAAAAATAATTGCTGATTCACCGCATAAAATGTGTGTGAACCAATCATGTTGTTAAGATTAGAATAAAAGACTGCTGGTGAAAAGGAGATTAAATTTTCTTTTGACTGGGGTCTAGATTTATTTAGAGGAGAGAAGAATACTGCAGAAACAATTTTAAGAGAATAAAATACGGTGTAGAGATCCTGGAAGAATTTAGAAGTAATGATTGAGTCCACAGTTGGAAGTAGATTTGGTGATATTTAAAATGTATCTGGTGATACTTAAATTAACACACCCGTAAAAGAACGCATGAGAAGGCTTCCAAGAGTATTTGGTGACCTCTGCAGAAAATACGCACTTACCCATGTAAGGTGCTCAGAATGTGCACAGGCGGCGTCTCGGGCCTGATGTTACCTGTAAGCGTGGGGCAGGGTGAGCAGCTTCTGTGTCTGCCGGTGTTTCTGCCCTTCCTTGTGTGACCTTGCTCTGGTTGGAAAAGGCATCCATGGCAGCTGTAGAGTGAAGCTTTAAAAAAAATGCTTGTTCCTGGGCAGATGCATATAAAGTACCTATGGTGGGTTGCTTTATTTCCAGGGTTTAGGACCCTGAAGAAATGACTACTTCTCCAAGGTATCTTCCAGGTATCGCTGAGTTTTGGGTTTTAAATCTGTTGCAAAATCTTAATTCTTCTATTTGTTGGGGATGGGTAGTCGCTGCCTGTTTAGACCAGTCCCTGGTTCTTTGGCACTGTGTCACAGTATTTTCTGTGACCCTTAGTCTCAGACTTTTAATACCAGGAAGAGTAGCTATGTAGAACAGTTATGTCACCTTTGGCTATAGTGGTACCAATGACAGCAGCATCAAACACAGCCTAGAAAATGACAGAGTGGGGTAACCATTCATTGGCCACCTGGAACTGTATGAGCTAGATTTGTGGTTATATAACAAATCTAAGACCAGAAAATTATGTGCAGTATACAAGTCCTTAATATGTCAGTTTTACCCTCAAAGGTTAAAATTTAAAATGGATTAGGGAGAAAATAGACCAGTGAAAGAAGAGGAAGAGATTAGAAGTAAGGCTGGTGGACAAAGGGGGATCATGCTGACTTTGGGAAACTGGTACAGAAGACTAGAAGGAGAGGGAAGGAAGAGATGTAGAGAACAGAGACCCACAGCCACGAAGAGGCTAGAAACCATGTTCACACTCACATAAATACAAGATCAAACAATGAAGGAGAAGAAACCGAACAAAACCACCACCACAGAAAACAAATGTGAGAGAGACAGAGAAGGAGGAAGAGAGAAAGTCCACTTCCAGGTTGGTTCTGCTGTCACTGGTAGGCAACATGTGGAGATACTCGCAATCCATGTTGATTTATCCCAGTGAGGCAGTGCTGCTTTTTGGTGGGGTAGTGGATAATCTGAGTGAGTGGGCACCTCCTGGCCAAGACCAGATGTGCTCGGCCTGTGACCTCCAGTGTACTGTCCTCAGGCCTCGGCCTGGCTGGGAGCCATAGCCGCTCTGAGTTCAGCAGGCCCTCTCCAAGATGGCCCACAGCCAGCTGCTGTCTTCCGAGATGGCCGCGCCCTCGCTCACTGCTGGCCAGGGCAGTCCTCCATGTCCACTGCTCCCCTCTGCTGTGTCTTACAGTGCAGCCCTCTGGGGTCACCAGCAGTCACCGTGTGTCTGCAGGTTTGCCCTGCTCCTCTCTTGCAGTGAGCCCTCTCAGGGAGAAGGTGCCACTGGCTACCACCGCCTTCCTCTTTGTTGAAGTTTTCTCTTCACTCGCCCCATGGGCTTCAGTGTGTGCTGCAGGGCCCTCCTGGGCCCAGGGGACCACTTCCCTCCTCCCTCTTCCTTATGTTGCCCTGTTCCATTGTCTGGTTAACTGAGAGAGGCCTTTTCTCTACTGGGTGTTCATCTGTAGCTTTTAAAAAGTCAGTGTGAAAGTTTGAAATGAAAGGATATTTTTATTCTTTCAGAAATAAACTTTTAGTAATCTGATTTCAGAGTTTATTATAAATCTGAATGATGAGGAATTTGGTTTTTTGAGTCTCTGAGCCTTGTGTAATTGATATTTATTTTTTAAGACGGTATACAGGGTCTCACTGCATAGATCAGACTCCTAGTGATCCTCCTGTTTACAGCCTCCCAAGTGCTGGATCACAAGGCAGGCGCCACCACGCCCAGTCTCATTTGCTGGCTCTGCGTGCCCCAGGGGCGGGGCTGGCGTGGCAGGCCTGAGGATCAAACTCCTGGCCCCTGCATCTGCTTGCAGGTGCTTTAATCCGCTGAGCTATTTGCCTGGCCCTTTGCCTTGTGTATTGATGGCAAAATAGAAAGTGGCTGCAGAATGCTAGCGGTGTAAGATAGTGGCTAATTTGATGCTACCCACTTCTGTTTAGCTTCTTGAATTATACCTACTGGTCTTAAGTCCAAATACTTTAAAAGACAATGCTTGTGTTTTATTGCAAAGGAAAACTTCCGTGTAACTGATCTCTGAGACCGTATGAGTGTACCACAGTGGCATTGTGCTGGCTGCACCATGCTACTGTACTTCTGTATTTCTTTCTTGTGTTTGCTTGTGAGTCTCCTCTGGGCTGTTTGAAGCCATCTAACACAAATGTGTTTTTTTTGTTTTCCAAATAGAGCTTTCTGCAGAAGCCAAAGCTGCATTGCTTGAATTTGAAGAAAGAGAGCGACAGCACAAGCAGGGCCGCTATGGATCCCGGCGGGGAGGCAGGAGAGGTGGTGGCTCTCTGATGTGTCGCAGCATGGGAGACCAGAGAAGAGAGAGTGGCGAGAGGGCAAGGATGAAAGAGCACAGGCCCGCCCTGCTGCCCACGCAGCCTCCGGTCATGGTAATCCCCGCCCTATTCCCAGAGAGGCTGACACATCGAGCAGCACAGGTGTGCTTGTGATCAGCTCTTCCCAGGCTGAAGCCAGGCACACAGTAGACTGCATATTTCATTGTAGTCTGGTGTGATGTCATGCACAGTCCTGGACGTAAGTCCTCTGGTAATCTGGCGGTACTTGATAACCCAGCCCCTGGCACTGCATTCATTTGCTGTGAAATGTCTTAGAAGCAAAGACAGGAGGTGTCTTTTTGTTGTTATTCTGCCAGGCTTTCTCCTTGGGAAGTTAGGGTTTCAGAAGAGGTGTGGTCAGTGCCTGCCATGTGCCCATCGGTGTGGGTCTTTTCTTTGTGAAGAAAACCTTGTGGTAGGAGCCATTTGTTGGTGAGCTAGTGCGGTAGAAGATGGGAGCTGTGCTGCAGCACGAGAGCCCGGCTTGGGTCCTGGGTGGGCAGAGGAGCCAGCTCAGAGGGTACAGGCGGCAGTGGAGCTGCTGGTGCCCACACAGTTTGGCTGTCAGACACTTCTAGTAGTAGCGGATGGGCCAGGCCTTTAGTTCCCTTTCCTTCCCTGTCACCGTGCCAGCCCAGGCCCATATGTGGCATATGTCGAACAGCTAGTACAGGTGTTTTGGGGCTGAGGGGATGACTGTGCAAGAAATGGGCCCCATGATCTTGGAAAGGACTCCCTTTTTCTTACCCCTAAGAAAGGGTAGACATGGATCACCTGACTTTCAGAGAACTTAGCTGAGGGAAAGAGTGTGGACAGATACTTTCCAGCTGTCTGAGAATTGAAGGTGACCTGCATCCTTACAGCAGAGCTGCTCTGCATTCTGATGGCGCTGATCTGGACTGGCCATCCAGTAAGTAGCTGCCTGGTTGGGTGCCCCCCCAGGGACTAGGATGCAGTCTCATCTGGCGATAGTGCTGCTTTCTGACTGCCAGCGGACTGCCGGGGTCAGAGCTGGCCCATCCCGCGACTCCTCGCCCGCACTGGAGGAAGGATAACCTGGCTTGTGTCTGCTGCTGCCTGTCTCCCTGTGCCAGTCCTGTCTGCTAGAGTCCATCTTCTCAGGGCCCAAGGAGGCAGGCTGTGTATGTGACATGGGTCCTGTGGACCACGACCCGGGCCTGGAGCTGTACTTGCTTGGCTGTATGAGGTCTGAGGTGTTCTCTCTAGAACTGTCTCTTCCTCCCCTCTCTCCTTTTTTCTCTCTTTCTCTTTTCCACCGAGGTATTTTATAATACATGTAAGCATTTGGGCACTGATTATATCAAGCTAACTAACATCTCCAGGTACCACACATCTTTGTGTGTGTGAGAGAGAGAGAGAGAGAGAGAGAGAGAAAGAGAGAGAGAGAGCGCATTTAAGTCTTTTACCTTTTTGTGCATTGTTTCTCATCTCTATGGGGGTCTTTCTCAATCCTCTACTCCCAGCTCTGTGTGAATTTCACCCCCAAATGCCTCTATGTTCTCTGCTTTCTCTATATCAGATGTCTCTGTCAGCTCTGCACATGGGGGCTTCACAGGACCTCAGCTGCTCACGAAGTGGGCAAAGCAGGGTCTTTCCTTACTGCTCCATTGTCCTCTCTTACACTGTGACCATGCACAATAGTCCTTTAAATTTCCTTTAAGTTTAGTCTGGGTGGCCCTGTGATGGGGCATGTGCTTGTGTGTGGGGACATGGGAAGACAGTCCCCATTCTCCTGTGTGCAAGTGAGCATCATGCGTGTGTTCAGAGGTGACGGGTGAGAACGGGATGTGGCCTCAATTCTGGGCGAGGGAGCCCTCCCTGAGCAAGGGTAGGAAGGGAGCCAAGCCCCCACATACAATGTAGTTTCACATTCTGCACATTGTTTCTTTGGAGGGTGTCCTTGTTCTCCATTGGCCCCTGGCCGTCCCTTTCATTTTCTTCTGGCTGGAGCAGTGGAGTGCTCTCTGTTCTTCCTCCTGCCATCCCTCTCGCTTGCTGCTGAGTGACAGTCCTCCTCCCAGACTGCCCAGGGCTTCTCCTCAGCTCACTGTGTCTAGCATAGTAGCAGTCTTTTTAATGTGGCATCATCCCAGGGGAGACTGCTCGTTAAGTTAGTAGTGTTGCTGCTCATTAACTGTGTAGTCAGTTTGATTAGCAGTTAAAAGCAAAACTTGTGGAATCAATGTGAGCTCTGATTCCCGCTCTTTGCTTTTCAGTTGCATGGTCTGATACGGAGGATCCAACCTCCCTGGGGTTGTGGGGAGCCAGGTGTGCTGCCCCTGGGTAGACCTCACAGCAGACTTGAGACGCCGCCGGGCACAGGGCACTGTGGCAGCGGCTGCTGCTGCTGCTGCTGCTGCTGCTGCTGCTGCTGCTGCTGCTGCTTTCCCCCTTGTTGGTGGGACAGAGCAGCTCGGCACCGCTCTCCTTTCCTCTTTGCACATGCCATGGCCATAGTAGTTTCCTTCTATGCACCACAGGGCATCTTCCCTGGGCTTCTGCCAGGTCATTCTGTTTCCTGGGTGGTGCCTTGGTTTTCTCCCATTGTGACTTGGCACAGTGCTGGCTTCTCAGAGAAGCTACCCCTGTCCCTGGGTGGGGGTGGGGGGGGAAGACTCTCATCACGCTGGCCTTTTCTTAAGCCTGAGGTCCATGACAGTATTGTTCACACGTGTTATTTGCCTTCTGAGACCCTTGGAGCAGGAAGAGTGGGGTTGGCCATATCTGGAGGCTGAGGGCAGCTCTGTCCGATCCTCAGCGGGTCAGCTTTGCTGCTGTGAGCAGTTTAGATTGCTGGACTACATTCTTTTCTTAGGAAGTTCATGCTGGGAGTTTCGGAGCTGCCAGTTTTTCTCCTCCTTACTATGATGTGATGCTGTCCTTTGCAATAGATGGAGCAGCTTAATTTTCCTGCATTTTTTGTATAAGTTGTTATTGTGGCCTTAAATCCTAATTTTTTTTTAAGATGCATATTTTAAAAAGATTTTTTACAGTGCAGATGATGCTTAGGATTTCTTGTAAGTGCTAATTTCTGTGTCCTTTTCCTTCTTGTGGTTCCTAGACTCACTCTCCAAGATTGATCCCCCCTCCACAGCCGCAGCCACCGCCGCCACCGCCGCCACCGCAGCAGCAGCCCATCAGGAGCCTGTTCCAGCAGCAGCAGCACCCACAGCCTCTGCTCCCGCTGCAGCACCCGCACCACCCCTCTCCACCCCAGGGTGTGCACATGCCCCCCCAGATGGAGGCCCCCCGCGTCATGCTGACGCCGCCTCCAGTGACTCCACAGCAGCCCAAGAACATCCACATCAACCCACACTTCAAAGGCACCATGGTGACCCCTGTTCAAGGTGTGTGTTCTGCTCAGTCCTGGTGCTGTTTCAGGTGCCGTGATCCCTTGCCGCCTGTGTAGCAGAGTGCTCCCACACTCAGGCCTGCACACGCCTTGTCCCTGGCCCTTTCCCCGTCCCGTAGACACACTTAGTTGGATGACCAAGTTCATTTCTGCACAGTGATTATGACTGAGTGGTAAGTACTAAGTAGATATTCTCAGTAGAAGCACATAGGAATGCCACTGCTGAAAGCCATGAGTGACCCTCCTGGGTGCGGCCCAGTGTGCTCCTCACCGTACCAGGCCACCTTGCAGTCACCGCTCCTGCCCCGTGAGTGTTGCCGCAGCAGGAACACTGGCCAGCATGGGTGTTCATGTGAGCAGCTGCACCAAGAGCCTCGCCCCGTGTGGCCATTTGCACTCTCCAGTGTGCTGATTCGCCCCGCCGCCTCAGACATGAACGACGGAGCAGGCGGAGCTCTCCCAGGCTGCGCACTGCCTTCGCGTGGACTGAGCCAGTCTGTCAGCAGTGATATAGTGATGACTGTGTGTGTGGCCCAGCATGGGTAGCATGAGCAGAGAGGGGGGAGAAGGACCGTGGAGTGCTTAGGGTGGCTTCAGTGACCGGCTTTGCAGGGAAGAAGGTTGTAGGTAGAGGGACCACCAGCTACCGGGGTCTCATTCAGGGCGAGCTTGTGCCTTGTGTGTTTGAGTAACCACCAGACCAGTGTACTTCAGAAGGGTGACAGAGGCCGAGGAGAGGTGCAGAGTCAGGGTGTATCTGAACTGTCCTTGGGACATGGCTTCCCTCTTCAGGTTGTCAGGCATGACACTACATGGCCTGTGCTGTCTGTTTGCAGCCCATCAGGCAACCTGGGGAGTGGGAAGCGAGAACAGGAAGCTGGGGGGCACGTTGACTGGCAGTAGGGAGAGCGAGGGGCTGCTTGCAGGTGCCAGTGAGTAGGATGGGGTGGCATGTTGCCGTCACGGGGGTGACTGGAATCTTTGGGGTGCAGTCCATCCGAGTGGAGGAAGGAAGGCCTTCGGGCTTCTGGGGGCAGGCTGAGAAGGGAACGGGTGCGAAGCTCTGTGCCAAGCTTCCAGCAGTGTATGTACAACAAATTTATTGGTAATTGGGGGTGAGGAGAAGAAGGCTTGAGGGAAGGCTTTTTTTTAAGATGCGGAGGTTGCAGTGCATAACAAATCCTTGATGCAGGCAAGGGGAAAGTTTGTCCTGGCAGAACTGGACAGTGTGCTCAGGTGAGGCTGATATCCATGGCTTCCACTGTGAGCAGAGCCAGTGGTACGGTGGTGCAGATGGTCCTTGGGCTGGTCCGTTCCCCTCGCGGGAGGTCCTAAGGCCATCCGCCAGGACTGCCTCTGAGGTTTCTTCTGAGGTGAAGGCCCAGGCTGTGGTGTCGGCAGAGCTGACGGTAACTGCAGCTTCTCATCAGCAGTGGGATTACTCAGCTCGTGCCACAGATGGGTTTACCTCCAGGAATTCACACTCTTGGTGTCTCCCAAGGGGAAGGCCAGGGCAGCCTGCCTGTCACTTGTTCCCCGTGACTGAGCACCACCCCTCCACGTGTGCGCATGGCTGAATTGATCCTGCTTATAAGAAAGATAGGTTGGGTCCAGCCCACATGAAGACCACATTTTACCTCAGTTACCTCTCGCTGCTTCGGTCTTCAAGCACATCATGTTTGAGGTCCAAGGGTTAGATAGGTTCAGCATACAAAATTTATTCCTCAACTCCTTATCATCTGAGAGCTGCCTAGGTGTGTGTGGCAGTACATTTGAGTGAAGGATGCGTGCTTCCTCAGAGGTGAGCTTTTTTGAAAAATCAAGATCAGTATAGCAATACATTTAAAAGTGCTTAGCACATCTGATTTAGCCTCAAGGTGTGAAAGTAATTCCTCACTTGTTCCTTACCGAGAAATGTCTTCTTAAAAATGATTCCCTCGTCTTTTGGTAGATTGCTGAGGGTTCTGGTGTTTGAAAACAAAAAAAAGGTCCTAGTGTAATAGGTTGCTCATTTGCGTATTCTTTGTAAGGGTGTGAGCATTTCTACCAATCCCTGTCTTATGCTATTTTCTTCTCTGCTATCCTTATTTTCTCATTCTTTTTCATGAGCTTAGGGGAAAACAAGCCAGGTTTTTTATTTTAGAGGAATACTGGCCTTTGCTGCACAGTACTGTAAGTCCTAATAGTAATTCACAGCTTCAGCTTCTGTGGCTGAGCGCCAAAGAGAGCCTGCGCTCCTTCACTTAGCTCACGTGAGCCTAGTCAGCATGCGCCTTAGCTGAGGCTTCGTGGGCCATCTGCTGTCCTTGTGGGGTCGTGTGGGAGGTGGCGCTAACACGAGGTGTTCTCTTGCAGTGCCCTTGCTACCAGTTCCGAGCCAGCCGAGGCCTGCCGTGGGACCCCAGAGATTCCCAGTGAGTAGCCCCTGCTCCTTCTGCAGTGAAGGGAGAGCCTGCACCCTCTAAGAGATGGTAGTGCCACACCTGCAAGGGCTCCCGCTGCATCCAGCCCTGAGGATCAGCAAGTGCTAACCGGAGTCCCTGCCCTGGACGATGCTGGCCGAAAGAGTAGGGCCAGTGGACTTTTGAAAGTGGAATTAATTTTGTTTAACTGTAAAATTATCAAATCAGGATCATTAGCAAAACGCCTTTCATTTAAAGAATATGAATTCTGACTTTGATAGTAGCCTGGGTAACGTGTAAAGGGACAAGTCATTGCTTTATGTGAGGGTAAAGGAGGGGGGGTATGTATATTGGAGTTGGGGAACAAAAATGAGATCTGCCTCTTTCAGAAGAGCCAACACAGTCTTAATATATATAATATATATATATTAATTCGTTACATACTTTTAATTGAAAGTCCTACCTTTAAATATTTTTTAAAATTACATGCATATTTGTCTTTCCTTATACACAGACAGGCATGTATGCTTTCCTGTACATTCTTTAATTAAAAGAAAAATACTATTTAAATATGTTGAGTTTATTTCATATGAATTTTTGGTTTGGCTTTGTGGTCTATTCATATTTCATTAAATGAGTGGGTATTTTTTTTTTTCTTAACTGTGGAAGAAATTAGACCACACCGTAAAATTTTAGTCACTTATATATAAACCAGAGACAGTCTTGTTTAGGTTAGACAATTTAATTTTTAGGAAATATTTAAATAGCGTATTTGAGTGCTTAGTTTTACTTCAGAGAATAACATTTATATAGCATATTTACCAAACAGGTTTAAATGAGACGTCCATGTATGTAATCAGGTAGTAACTGTAAGGTAAACTCAGTATTGGATTTAAGGTTTTGAGTGTGTTTTAGAGGCCTGCTTAATTTTTAGTTACGGATTATGTTGTGGTTTCCAAAGCTGGTTCTTTTGATAATTTTCTATGTTTGCTAAAGTTTTCTTTAGACTACTGATCAAGTTCTGAAAACATTTTTTTGAAAAAAGAATCTTTAAATCCAAGCGCTGGGGAAGCTGAAAATAGGTGGATCACTGCGAGTCTCAGTTGCATAGTAAAACTGTGTACCAAATGCATTAAAATAAATAAATAAATAAATAAATAAATAAATAAATAAATTTATTCAAAGGACTTAAATAGCTAAGGTTAGTAATTATGTTGCCCAAGGCTAATGTGTAAGTTTAACCATTAGATACCTTGTTTCTAAGGAAGTAGTTCACCTGCTCCTTACTGTGAAGTGCCAGCTTTGAAGGACTGAGAGCATCTTCGTTGAGAGTATGGTTTGGTCTGTTGTCATGGCTTATTTGCATGATTTAGGGGTAGAGTTTGATGTGGAAAAGCAGTTGTCATATACACACATGTATGTATATATGTGTGTATATATTTATAGAAATTGTAGAGAAACAAAGCAGTTGTGCAGTTGATACTTTTGTAAAAGGGTACTTACTAATATAAAATTGGGATTAGTTATTTGCAGTTTACTTTTTCAGTTCTGCGAACAAAATTATATCAGATACTAAAAGGAATAAACATACTTTGAGAGTGTTAAGAGGAAAGCAAAAGCTAATTTTTGTGAGAAATAATGCTGAATTGTTAAATTGCAGAAACTCTGAGGGTGGTAAATATTGTTAACTTCCACTGGTGATGTTTCTGGCGGTGTTTTGTGTTTGAGGCGGGCGGTGAGTGTGGGGCGGGTGGCAGGGAGCTCAGTGGGTGTCTGGCCTCAGCTTCTTCTTCTTCTTTTTTTTTTTTTTTTAAATAATTTTTCCAAGCAAATATTTATTATTTCCTAATAAATTCATCATGATTTTTTTAAAATTTTATTTATTTGTGTGTGTGTGTGTGTGTGTGTGTATGTGTGTGTGTGGCCAGCTCAGCCCACCAGGGGGCGGGGCTGGCTGGCATGTGGTGCTGGGGGATTGAACCGCGGTCCCTGTGCTTTGCCAAGCCTGTTCCAAATAGGTGCTTTAGACCACTGAGCCATCTCACCAGCCCCTGACCTCAGCTTCTGCACCTGCCCCAGCTGCTAGGCCAGGGCTGAAGTTAGAGTGTAGCTTGCCGTACGGGGTGCAGGGGTACACTCACTTCTGCCTTCAGTCTTCCTTTGACAAAAAAGAATGGAATGTGGAATCTTACTTTTTTTAATTTTTATATTTTGGTGGAACCAGGGATTGAACTCAGGCCCTTGCACTTGTGCCAGGGAAGCACTTATTCCACTGAGCCATCTCCCCAGCCCCTAGAATCTTGTTTTTTAAAAAATGCAAAAATATTTTGCTTTTAGTAAGTCCATCAAACCTGTTGAGGATAAACTCTGTTGTCTCCTATCATTTTAGTTAAGCCAGATCTTTGTGATGTAAAATTATTTTTTTCCTTTCTACTACTAGATTAAACTTGGTTGCTATGAATTTGAATTTAATTTTGTAAACATCTGCCATCTACATCCACCACCATCTGCATGGTTCCAGTCCATAAAAGGTCCAAGTATAGTTAGATCAAACCTAAGCTGCAGCTTCAAGCTCATTTTCATGTGAGTGTAAAACTGGTGAAGACAGTGTCGCGGCTTGACAAGGCTGCCTGGCGAGCTCATGGCCGGGCACTTCTCAGGCCCTGCCCCGCCACATGTGTGCAGTTCAGGCTCAGTTAGTATCGGGACACTGAGGCTTGATAAAGCTTTCGTGTTAGGAAACTTTATACTTCAATTTCAGCATAGGATGCTTGAATCATTATTATCTCTTGGTACATGAAACTGGACTTGAATTGGAAGTCTTTGTCAGCAAGAGATTGGCAGTGGAGCAGAGCGAGGCCGTCGCCGTCTTGTCATTGCCCGGTGTGAGCCCTTGGAGGACCCGTGGCTCTGAGGACAAGGTGCACACGCGGCTGCCCTGCTGGTCAGGCCCTGCGTTTCCTCGTGTGTAAGGCGTCTGCTGAAGGTCTGTGGACGGACCTCTGCACAGGTCCCCAGCATCCTGGGTCCTTGGTGCCGACTCAGCCAGGGCTTCGCGGACAGGCTAGGTGCACGCAGGGATGTATTGCTAATGCTGACTTAACCTTGCTGCTTGAGAGGAGTGCTGCACAGGATGAGTATCGTAGACAAGGGATGTATATTGTAATTGTGGTTTCTTCTACTGTTTTTAAAGACGTGTGAGTTTGCACAGTAGAGTTACGTTATGTGCCATCAACTGCAAAGAATTCAGCTCTGTACCCAACAAATGAGGAGAACCATGATAGACAGTAGACAGAAGCAGCACTAGATTTGTACTTGACTCGTTCAGAGTGAACTTAGTCAATTACATGAAAACTTCAGGAACCCTTAATTTAGAATTGGGTTTCTAGATACTTTCCTAAGTGATTGTATTGGTCAGGGTTTTACTTAGAGGACCAGATATAATATAAGGAACAGATGTTAACACAAGATTTACAATGTATAAGGAATTACAAAGTTGGCTTACAACAGTCAGCTGCAGAGTCAGATGGAGGAGGGTGCAGAGGGCGTCTGCACACCCCAAACTGAGGAGTTCAGTCCCAAGGTCTGAAGCTCACTGCTGTGCTCCATGCAAGTCTCTGTTTGTCAGCTGATGGGTCTGCGAGGGAAGACTGAAAAGCCGGAGGTGGAAGAGTCTGTGCTGCAAGCCATCTGACGAAGTGAAGAGAGCGACTACTTCCTCAGCCCCTTTATATGGTCTCTTTGTGCTGAGTCACTCTGGGGGCAGAACCAATTGTGTCCCAGGGCGGGACCCCACCAGCCGGAAGTGCACCGGAGAGTCAACCGGCCAAGTTGACACAATGTATCAACCACTACAGTGATAGTGCTCCAGCATTCCCCTACACCCACCTCTTGAAACTGGGGTGAGAGTGTGGGACCTCAAGCACGCAAGGCCAGCATTCTGCCCGAGCTGACCACCCAGCCCATGCTTCCAGTTTTTAAATAATTATAGACAATTCTAGGCAAGATGTTGTGAAACATTGTTTTTCATGACATTATTTAGCATTATCTTTCTGCACTACTGAGGATTGAACCTGGGATCTCATGCAGAGTAGGCAAGTATTCTCTTATCACTGAACATCTCCAACTGATCTAATACTTCTGAACAGACATTATTTTTAAATGTTGATATCCTGGGCCAAAATACGACCTTTTAGGCTATGTTCGATAGAGGAAATTAAATGACATTTAATTTCCCATAAATGAATATTACTTAGAGACCTTAGTAATTTTTTTTTTTTTTTTTTTTTTTTACAGAAAAGTTGAAAATGTAGTTTACTAAAAGATATGTATCATCACAGAGGGTAATAACAAATAATCCAATCTAGAAGTTTAAATAAATGAAAATAACCTTAAAACTAATATCTAAAGCTGAAGTCACTGCCTTGGATCATTTATATACTGCATCCAATATTTTACTTCGGACATTCACTCTTAAGGCAGAAAATTTCAATTTAACATGTAATGACTTGGTTCTTACATCCAAGGGTCAAACTGGGAGTAGGCTTGAGCAGACAGCATCCTTGCCAATGAAGATTTATCTCTGGTGACAAATTCATTCTTAAAAAGTATATGAGGTACAAGAAACGTACATTTAAAGAACATAAAAAGATGGATGTTAAAATATACAAATTAAGACTTCAACAAGTTGTTCATGAGAATAGGTATTCTTTTATGAAGTGGAACTACTCCCATAACAAAATATGCTTTCTGATACGGTACATAAAAAGTATGAAATATCAAAGATTACCTTGGTGGGGATGTTTCTTTAGAATCTGGTTTTCAAGGTCTAGTATAAAAGGTAGCCGTAACAGTGAAAAGCAGTTGAATGTCAGCTCATACTGCAACTCAGAAGGCTACCACTTAGGGTATTCCTATCCCATTAACAAAATCCTGTGTGGGGAAGAAATTACTACATAGTAATATAAAAATGAAGCCTCCCTCCCACATGTGTGCAAAAACACTTGTCAGTT